ATTCCTGAGGACCCTGGTCTTGGTCACCGGGTGGAGGTCATGTCAGTCAGGCGTCTCCACTGTGAGGTTCTCTCCCCCCACTTTCCATAGTGTACTGTGGGGGGTGGGGGGAAACCGGTTTGCACAAAGTGGAGGGAGCTAGCTTCCGCCTCCTCTGGGGTGGAGTGCCTGATTACAGTTTGGAATCTCTCTTCCAGGACAGCGGCCTATTCTGCTGGGCACTTTTTCTCCACGTCATCTCCTGCGATTTTCACAGCTGTGAGGTTGACATTGTCCCCCATTTTACAGAGGTGGAACCATTGACTCACCTCCCGAGATCACCCAGACCTTGAGTGGCCAGCCTGGGACTTGAGCCTGGGTGTTCCCAGAGACAGAGCTCTCTGGTACTAAGCTCTTTGTCTACCCTGGGTCCCACGGAAGGGATTTTATCCAAATTCACTTACTCCCTGAGCCACTCGTGCCCATCTCTTAGGCAGGGTAAGGTTCACTGGGTGGCGTGAGGTGTTTTTGGGGTCTCTATGGTGAGTCTACCCTTTAAAAGGGCTCTCTGGGGACTTCAGGAACCAAGTCCTATTCCAGGATGTCTAGGTTGGAAAAGGCTCAAACTAGATTCCAGTAGGGTGTGTGTTTGGGTCCCCTTGTGCAAGGAAGGCTGTGTGTGTGTATGCATATACATACACACATATACATGAACACATATTTACACAAGTATGGGGTGCCAAAAAATGTATACACATTTTAAGAGATATTATTTGTGTATTACTTTTAACTCACTGTCGTCAGAAGTGTCTGGACACCAATGGTAACCACTTTGAGCGCCTCTTGTAGTTGCAGAAGTCAAAGTGATTTGTATTCGTTGTCTGTTATTGGCATATATTGAGTAGGACAATTTTAATAGTTTTTCCTTTTTGTAAAATGTAAACATTTTCTCAGCACCCTCTGTACATCTGTATATGTACATACATACATATGAATATACACATACCATATACATACATACCCACATATACACACGTACATATATACACACATACACATACCATGTACTCATACACAAATGTACATATATTTGCACATGTACATATGCTCATACATATGTATATGCACATATGCCATATACATATATACACATATACTCACATATGCACACACATGTACACATATATACACATACACACATATAGATACATGCACATGTACATATAGACACATACCACATGCATGTATATACATACACATATACTCATATGCACACACATACATATATACACATGCATATACACATATCATACACACATATACATGTGTACGCGTCTACACACATTCACATGCCATATACATATATACTCATACACATATACTCATATATGCACACACATTTACATATATGTATGTACATGCATATACATATATCTGTGTATGCACATACACACATACACATGTGTGTATGCACACACACACAAGAAAAGAAAAGCTTTCTTTGGGTTGCTTGTCATGTTTTTTAAGAAGAAATGTTAACACTTGGACATTCTTCGAAGCGTTTTCCCTCTTGATTTCCACCAAATGAAGCCGTGATAAGGGTGCAGTGCTGCGCGATATGGGTGTGATTTAGCGGGCTGCATGCAATTTCTGACCTCAGCATCACACCAGAGTGGATCTGTGTAACAGGCAGTCTGCTCTGAACATTTGCAGTTCCTCCCCTCACCCTGTTTGGAGTGTTGGGGTTGTGTCAGGACAAAGGAAATCTTGCTGAAGGTTGCCACAGATGCGCGAGTTCACAGTTTTAAAGAAACGGCTCTAAATGAATTTCGACTGGGCTTCACCGTGACTCTGGCCCAGTCTAGCTGACAGGTGCCACCAAGCATTTAACTGGACGGTCAACCCAACTGAGATCAAAGAACCTCTCACTCTGCCCAGGTGAGAGCAAGTCCGTGGCTCTGGGGACCTGACAGCTCATCCTTGTCCCCTCCCCTCACACAGTAAAGGGCCATGGGTGAGTCACAAAAGCCTCAGTGACTGCTGCAGCCTGTGAATCACGTGGCCAGGGTCTCACTGCTGCCTGCCTATTAACGTCCTGGCACTATCATATTCGTCAGGGTCTCTCTCCCAAATGGTTCACTTTTCACATTTTAGGCAAACTCAGAAGATGGGCAGAGGTCAGTGGTGAGCCAACAGCCATCCTGTTTAGGAGAGGTTTTTTTTTTTAATTCATTTTCATTTGTAGAGACAAGGTCTCGCTATGTTGCCCAGACTGGTCTCAAACTCCTGGCCTTGAATGACCCTCCTACTTACGCCTCCCAAAGTACTGGGATTACCAGCAGGTGCCACTGCACCCGGCCTCTTAGGACGATTCACACCCTAGTGTTTGTTCTTAACTTGGAAGTTGATGAAAAGCTCACCTGCAGGATTTCATATGGGGTGGGGGGGGTGGGTGGGTAGGCAGAGGCCTGACATGGCCGTGTGTCCCTCAAAGGAGGACACACGGCCACTCCAGCCTGGACAGTGGCAATCCTCAGAGTGTGGTCAGGGAGACAGAAGCCGCTCGGCATATCAGGGAGATTGCACGACACTGGAAGGGCTGGGGGAGCCAAGGCCAAGGGCGCCCTCCCCTCTCTGGTGGAAAGCTCAGCTACATGGCAGGGCAGCAGGGGGTTCTGGAACCTACTGCCGTCTCCAGCTCTCTCAGCATCCTCAGTCTGCAGGCACAGTGGGCGAATCTAGGGAGCGCCCCGGGTCTCGGGCTGCCTGACCTCCTTAGGATAATGGCCTGGTCTCCTCCGCCATGTCCCAAGTCTCATACAGTGCCACCTATGGGCAGCCTCAGCCCAAATCAGGCGGCAGTGGGGATTCTGGGCCATGGTCTGGCCTCTCCACCTGGCTCCTGCGGGCAGGAGGTGATGCTGAGGACACTTCCCTGTCCATAAGGTCCCCTCAGCCCTGTCAGTAGGGGTTGAAAGGACAAGGCTGAGAGGAATAAGTGGGGATGTCTGAGAGCTGGATCCTTGGTGTGTAAGAATGGACACTGGGGTTGGGCTCGGTGGCTCATGCCCATAATCCCAATACAGTGCTTTGAGAGGCTGAGGCAGGAGGCTCTACTTGAAGCCAGGAGTTCAAGACCAGCCTGAGAAACATAGCAAGACTCTATCACTATTTAAAAAAATCAAAAAATTAGCTGGGTATGGTGGTGCACGCCTGTAGTCCCAGCTACCTGGGAGGCTAGGGCAGGAGGATCACTTAAATCCAGGAGTCAGACACCAGCCTGGACCACATAGCAAGACCCTGTCTCTACAAAAAATTTTTTTAAATTAGGTGACTGTGGTAGTGTGCGCCTACAGTCCCAGTTACCTGGGAGGCTGAGGCAGGAGGATTGCTTGAGGCCAGGAGTTAGACATCAACCTGGACAACATAGCAAGGCCCCGTCTCTACAAAAAAATAAAAAAAATTAGCTGGCTGTTGTGGTACACACCTGTAGTCCCAGCTATCTGTGAGGCTGAGGCAGGAGGATCCCTTGAGACCAAGAGTTAGACACCAGCCTGGGCAACATAGCAAGACCCCATCTCTACCAAAAAATTTTAAAAAGCTGGCTGTGGTGGTGCATGCCTGTAGTCCCAGCTACCTGGAAGGCTGAGGTGGGAGGATCCCTTGAGCCCAGGAGTTTGAGGCTGCAGTGAGCTATGATCATGCCACTGCACTCAGCGTGGGTGACAGAACAAGACCCCAAGTCTATTACAAAAAAAAAAAGTAGAATGGGGACTGGATACTCAGCACCTTCACCGGGCTCAGAGATAGGGACTTCTGCAGACTGCTTACCTCCCCAGGGGCCTGTTGGCACTCACCAGCAAGCCGGTGGTGATGGTCATGAAGGAGCAAGTGCAGGCATGGAGGACAGGGAGAGAGGAAGCTTTTCCTACCTGGCTTGGTCGGTCATGGAAGAGGGGCAGTCTGAGGGCAGCGGTCCTTTACCGGGATGACTGCTCCCCGAGTGGCGATTTGGTAGTGTCCGGACACAGTTTTGGTTGTCACAACCTGGGTGGGAGTGAGGGTTTAGTTGCTTCTGGTGCCCAGAGGGTAGAGGGCCCTGCTGAACACCCTGCTATGGGCAGGACAGCTCCCACCGGGAGCCATCCGGTCCCCCTGCCATGGTGGTGAGATTGGGACCGGCCACAGGGGACTGAAGCGGGGCGGGGTGGGGCGTATTCACATGAGGACTCGAGACCTGCAGGCTGGAGCTGGCATTGGAGGCGGGGACAGTTGACCCGAGAGCTGCCTTCTCACACTCCACGTGGACTGTCCACGTGAATCCTGTAAATTCGCTTCTTGCACGATGTTCTCTGTGTCCACCTTTAGCTGAGAGGGTCTCACCGTGGACCTCCCTTGGGGATGAATAGAAGCTCAGATCCTTTTTGGAGGTGCCAGGCGGGAAAGGAGAGAAGTCTAGATTCTCAAAAGAATATTCTTACCTGCTCACAGCTGAGGGTCTGGGCTGCAACGCTCCTGGAGGGTGTGAGAGAGAGAAGAGAGACACACAGACTCGTGCTCCTGGGTGGTGACGGGCGTGCCTGCGAGAGCTGACGATCCCCTACTGCTGTGATGATGGCTTTTTCCTCCAGATGCTCCCAGCCCTGGGAAGCGCATCTGAAGTTCATTTGCAGCCCCGCATCTGTCTGCGCTGGCAGCTTTTGCTGGGAGCTGCCGCGTCCTGCCCGCCCTCCCGGGCGTCCCTCCTCCACCGTGTGATGGGACAGCTCTGGCCTTGAGCCGACTGCAGGAGGGGACCCAAGTGAGCCGGGAACAGCGTCGCCCTGATCAGGACAGCTTCCCGTGCCCTCCTCCGTTTCCGGGGCTCCTGGAGGATTCCGTCTTGGGGACCCAGAGGAAACAGAGCGGCCGGCTGGCCCCGGGATGACGCGGCGGTTCTCCCTCTCTCTGGAAAGGCCTGGCCGGAGGAGGCACTTTGCCTGGGAGTGCCGGGCTGTTCACGTGTGCGCTTCTTGTTCCAGGGCACGCCATCATCACCAACTACTTGTTGAACTATTTCCCCGGTCTTGACCTTGAGAGGAGGAACGCGTTCGGGTTCACGGCCCTGATGAAAGCCGCCATGCAGGGCCGAACAGACTGCATCCGAGCCCTGATGCTGGCAGGTATGTCCTCCTGTCCCGTGCAGCCCCCAGGGTTCCCGGGATGCCAAAGCTGCTCCCCTCCCCCTCTTTTATTGAGTCAGAGTCTCACTCTGTTGTCCTTGCTGGGGTGCAGTGGCACCATCACAGCTCGATGCAGCCTCCGTCTCCTGGTCTCAGGTGGTTTTCCAAGCAGTTGGGACTGTAGGCACACGCCCTCATGCCTGGCTAATTTTTTTGAATTTTTTTGTAGAGATGAGGTCTCACTATGTTGCCCAGGCTATTCTGGAACTCCTGGGCTCAAGTAACCCTCCCACCTTGACCTCCTAAACTGCTGATATCCTAAAGGCATGAGCCACTGCGCCCAGGAAAGCTGCTTCTTTAAAGAATACGTTTTGAGAGGAGTCATTCCCTTAGAAGCAAAGTCTAGTAGTTGCAACAAAAGATAGTTTCTTTGCTGAGGTCATCACTGGAATAAAAAAAAAAAAAGAGCCCAAAGCAAACACTTTGAGGGGCTCAGAGGCAGATCACAGCACTGGTTCCCTGCAGGACACACTTTGGTCCCTGCTGAGCTTGGGATGGGGTGGCACCTCCCTCTTCCCTTAGCTTCCTCTCGCCCACCCATCCTGCTCCCCAAACCCTGTCCTGTCTGTTCCTCTTCAGAATTGGGTGTCTTGGGTGGAAACAGCATGAGCATGCTATTGAAGGTGGGCACAGGGACTGTGGGAACGCCACTCCTTCCTGCTCGCTGGTGGGTGGCGTAGGGTGGCGTTGCGTGGTGGCGTGGTGTGGTGTGGCAATTTCTTTTTTCTGTGATGTGTCATAGAATAGAAGGTTCTCAGGCCCTAGCCCTGATCACCCCCTCCCTTTGTCTTGTGCAGCCTCTTGGAGAAAGCCTTTCGTGTTCCCATCTGTGAAATGGGAATAATGACCTCTTTCTCTCCCACCTCCCTGAGAATGAAGTGATAATATTTTGGTAAACTCTCATGGTCTACATAGATGTCGTGAATGACCAAGCTAAATCCCACATAACTAGTCGAATCACTAGATGGAATCAGTGATCATCTTCAGGACCGCCTCATCAGATTATTTTGAGAATTCAGAGAGAAAAACGCGTCAAGCGTGTGTGGTGTCGGATCGCGTTAGCAGCTCGCGTCTCAGTCAGGGTGCGATGCTGCCGCTGCCATGATTTGATTCTGTTTTTTAAATTTATCATTGTTTTTGTGCTTGGCCCTGGGTCCAACCATTTCCACTTGGTGCTCCGAGCTCCTGAAGAGGTGGCCTCTCCCCTCTGTCTTAGTCATTCTGCTGCTATAACAAAATGCCTCAGACGGGGTCACTTACGAACCTTAGAAATGTATTGCTCACGGTTTGGGAGGCTGGGGAGTCCAAGATCAAGGTGCTGACAGGTTTGATGTCCGGTGAGGGTCTGATCCCCCCAAACCTCATGCTGATATGTGGTCCCCAGTACTGGAGGCAGGGCCCAAGTCAAGGTGCTTGAGCCGTGGGGTGGATCCTCATGACTGACTTTGTGCCGATCTGGTGGTAATAAGTGAGTTCTTGCTCTCTTATCTCACACGAGAGAGAACTGATTGTTTAAGGGAGCCAGGCACCCTCTTCCTCTCTCTCTTCTGCTTTCACCATGTGACACGTCTGCTCCCTCTCTGCCTTTCACCATGGTTGTGAGCTTCCTGAGGCCTCACTAGAGCAGATGCCAGAGCCATGCAGAGCCATGAGTCAGATAAGCCTCTCTTCTTTACTAATTACCCAGCCTCAGGTCCTTTCTTCCCTTCCCCCACCCCCCGCATCTGTCTCTCTCTCTCTCTCTCTCTCTCTGTCTGAATCCCACTCTATCACCCAAACTGGAGTACAGTGGCACGATCATAGCTCACTGCAGCCTTGACTCCCAGACTCAGGAGATCCTTCAGCCTCAGCCTCTAGAATAGCTGAGATTATGCCTGGCTAAATATATATATATATATTTTTGAGTTGGAGTCTCACGCCATCACCCAGGCGGGAGTGCAGTGGCACACCCTAGCATCAATCTGCTGGGCACCAGTGATCCTTCTGCTTCAGCCTTCCAAGTAGCCGGAACTACAGGCACGCACTACCTGAGACTAATTTTTTGATTTTACTGTAGAGATGAAGTCTCACCAAGTTGCTTGGGCTGGCCTCGAACCCATGGGCTCAGGCAATCCACTTGCCTCGGTCTCCCAAAGTCCTGGGATTACAGGCTGAGCCACCGAGCCCGACCCTGGCTAATCTTTTAACTTTTTGTAGAGACAAGGTCTTGCTATGTTGTCCAGGCTGATCTTGAACTCCTGGGCTTGAGTGATTGTCCCATCTAGTTCTCCAAAAGTGTTAGGATTATAAGCGTGAGCCCAGCCAGTCTCAGGTATTTCTTTTTCTTCTTCTTTTTTTAACCTTTGTCTTTCTTTTCTTTCTTTATTTGCGTAGGAGTCTCATTCTGTCACCCAGGTTGAAATGCAGTGGCATGCTCACAGCTACTGCAGCCTCAACTTGCTTGGGCTTAGGGGAGCCTTCCACCTCAGCCTCCCAAGTAGCTGGAGCTACAGGTGTGTGCCACCATGCCCAGCTACTTTTTAAAAAAAATTTATTGTACAGACAAGGTCTTGCCAAGTTGCCCAGGCTGGTCTTGAACCCCTGGACTCAGGCAATCTTCTTGCATCTGCCTCCCAAAATGCTGCTGGGATTACAGGCATGAGTCACTGCATCTGGCCTTTTTTTTGGAGTTGGAGTCTCATTCTGTCACTCTGGCCTTTTTTTGGAGTTGCAGTTAGAGTCTCACTCTGTCATGCCGTAGCATAATCATGGCTACTGCAGCCTTGACCTGCTGGGCTCAGGGGATCCTTCCACCTCAGCCTCCCAAGTATCTGGAACTACAGGTGTGTGCTACCATATCCTGCTAATTTTTTTTGATTTTTTGTAGAGATGGGGTCTTGCCATGTTACCCAGACTGGTCATGAACTTGTGGGCTCAGGCAATTCTCTCGTCCTAGCCTCCCAAAGTGCTGGATTATGGATTACAGGCATGAGCCAATGTACCTGGCCAGGCATTTCTTTACAGCAATGCAAAATGGACTAATACAAGACTCATTCCTTCTTGCTGTTTCGATGCTCACATGGTGGGGAGGGTACAGGAGAGTTCCTTGAGCCTCTTTTATAAGGGTACTAATTTCATTCATGAGGGCAGAACTCGCATGACCTAATGGCCTCCTAAGACCTCACATCTGAATACCATCCCAGTGGGTATAAAGTTTATTTTCTTTCTTTCTTTCTTTTTTTTTTTTTTTTGAGTTAGGATCTCACTCTGTTGTCCGGGCTTGAGTGCAGTGGCACGACTGTGGCTCACTGCAGCCTCCACTTCCTGGACTAAGGGGGTCATCGCATCTCAGCCTCCCCAGTAAGTGGGACTACAGCTGACACGTCCATGCCCAGCTAATTTATTTATTTATTTATTTAATTTTTGTAGAGATAGGGTCTCGCTGTGTTGCCTGGATTGGTCTCGAACTCCTGGGCTCAAGTGATCCTTTCATCTCAGCATCTCAAAGCGGTGGGATTAGGCGTGAGCCACTGCTCCCATATGGAATTTGGGGGACACCAACACTCAGACCGCAGTGGCTTGCCATCTTGGTTATCCTAAGGATGACACTGGAGTCCTTCTGGCATCAGTCCTTCCCTTAATGTCCCTTTTCTGCTACGGGACCCCAGTCAGGCGCTGACATTTTGTTGTCACATGCCCCCAGTCTCCTCTGGCCTTTGAAGCGTCTCCACCGTCACCTGTTGTCCATGACTGGTCCATGCTATGTCCCCCGACCTGAGCCCGTTTGTTGTTTTTTTTGGGGTTGGTCTGGGCTTACAGGATTCACAACTTTGGAGTTTTTTTTTCTCCTGCTTTAACCTGGGTGTCTTAGGGGATGCTGTGAGCAAAGTAAATTTGGCGAATGAGGACAGAGTCTTCGAACATGGAAACTTTCTTGGAAGTAAAAAGACGGTCATTACAATGAATCCCACTGATTGTATTTTTAATTCAGTGACAATTTCATTTTTTTAAAAAATGAGATATCTGTTTCAATCGAGTTTAGTCCTGCCTGTCCTTGTCAGTGAGCAATGGCTCCCCTAATTAATGGTGATTATGGGATGCTTTTGTGTTCGGTGGAAGCTCCATCCACTTTTACCACTTCTGAATCTAGTTATAATTGAATGTAGATCTTTAGTAATGTACTTTTTCAACCGAACACTTATGGTGCCAATCATATCAGTGCATTTTCCCAGGTGAATTAATTTGAACTACAGAAATCTGTTTTTTAGGTCAGTTGCCTTCTAATCACTCTAGAAATGCACAGGGCTCTGTTTCACTGTCTACTTTCTTCCTTGAGTTAGAGATTTCCGGCACTTGCTACAGCTCTATGGGATTCCAGCAATACCTTTTGCATCTCTTGGAATGATGAGCCTGCTTGTTCCCCACCCCTTCCATTATTTGGGTACAAATTCCACATTGGATTTTATCTACTCTTCCTTCCGCATTCCTGACTTTGTGAGTCCCTTCCCATCAAAGTCTAGAATAATCAACATGCAGGAAGGCCGGTGTCTGTTATGTCCTCTTGTGTGTCCCTCCCTGCACTGAATGTGGTGCAGAACAGAGAGGTCAACACAGACAACTTAGAGGCCAGGACCCCGATTTCTAATCCAACTCTACTTCTCTACACGTGGGGCCAACCACTTACCTCTCTGGGTGTCAGTTTCCTCTTCTATAGAATGAGGCTAATGATAGTACCTGGCGTAGGAAGGGTGATGGGGATTGAGCAAGTTCACATGACAGCCCTCGACGGGTGCGTGGCTTGGAGGAAGCACCAGTAAATGCTGGCTGTGATTACTGTTTTTTTGTTTTTTTGACAACGAATTCTTTTATTTGCAACATGAGAGCCACACAGGTACAGAGAGGTGGGATGCTATTTTCTAAGCTGACATCCTTGAGAGGAGTAACAACACAAATGCTTCGTTGTTCAGTGACTGAAGCACAGCAGTTCCTGAAAGAAAAATATGATTCTCTATAAAAGACTTGAAGGTGACTGGGAGAGGACAAGTAGATAGAAACCATGTCAGGCACTCGGCTTCCCTAACCAAGCTCAACATAAACACCTACAGGTCCTTGGAACTGAAACAACCGAATGCACATTAGAGAGTTAAGGCTTGATCTGCCTTTTACTCATCTTCAGTGTCAACAAGACATACAGATTCTTTTCAGGAAAGCATTTCTACCTTTTGTGTATGCAACAGGGCTGATGATGGCAGACATTGAAGGCCATGTTATTTATCCCATCAGTTCTTCTTGACTACCTTAATGCCTCCTACCCACCCATCCTGGTAAGACAGAATATCTAACTCCAGACTATTTCCAGTCCTCCCTGCAAGGAAACACTGTACATAATTGATGGCACTGCTTTTTCATGATGTCTTAGGAGTTCCAGGGTCATGGCAAATGTGTAACTAGTCATCCACAGTGATGTGTCGGAAAAGGTAGGCCATGGACTCTCCATTGTGGATTCTCCAAATTTTTTCTGAAAGAATTAAACTGATATCCACAGTCTTTATCTTGGGACACTGCAGCTTCTGTACCTCATGCGGGACAGTATTCGTCACCACCACCTCATCAATGGAGGACTCCTCCATCAGACGGAGGGCTTCTGCAGACAGGATGCCATGGGTGGCCATGACAGAGATCTTGTAAGCACCTCTTTCCTTCAGGATCTCCGTGGCAGCAACAAAACTCTCCACATCGTCAATAATGTCATCCACCATGATCGCGATGCGGCCTCCAACATCTCCGACTACAGTTATCGGTGGCTTCTCTTTGGCCATCATCGATGGCAACTCTAGGCCTGGGTGCACAGTGGCGTTTTTGACCATAGGGGGAGAATGTCGCCCATCATCCATGTCTAGTTCCGTGCACTGAGCTTCCCCGTGGATGACAGCAAACCCAAACACAGTGTCTCAGCATAGGACTGGGCCCTCTGCAGCATCAGGAGACTTAGCTACAATGACAGCAGTTCTGTAATTTGGAATTTCATCCTGGATATACTGAAGCAGGAAAGGTGAGGCTCTAAGGTTGTCCACGGGAAAGCTGAAAAGCCTTGTATTTCCTTTTGATAAAGATCCATAGTGATAATGTGAGTTAAACCTGCTTTTGCCAGCATGGATGCTAAAAGTTTGCACACAATGGAACCCCTCTTCTTCATCTTGCTCTGCTTGCTGTAGGGGAAATAAGGGATGACTCCAATAATATTCCTGGCACAGGCAGTCTTCAGTGCATAAGCCATGATCAGTAGTAACTCCATCACAGCTGTATTCACATCTCTGAGTATTGTCTGTATAATGAGAATATCTTGGCCACGAACAGATTCTTTTATTTCAACTCCTGTTTCTCCACTGGTCTCTTGGTATACAATAGACTTCCCCAGTTAAGCACCAAGATGCTCGGTGATGCGCTTGGCCAGCTCCGTTCAGGCAGCCGTGGAGTTGGCCGAGAAGACTCAGTAGCCAGTGCGAGCCGCGTTCGTGGCTACTTAAAATGTTTTTTGAGTTGGAGTCTCACTCTGTCTCCCAGACTGGAGTGTAGTGGCACGTTCACGGCCACTGCAGCCTCGACCTGCTGGGCCCAGGCGATCCTTCTGCCTCAGCCTTTCAAGCAGCTGGAGCTACAGGCATGCACCACCATGCCCGGCTAATTTTTTTTTTTTTTTTATTGTAGAGATGAGGTCTCGTCAAGTTGGCCGGCTGGTTTCAAACCCGTGGGGTCAGGTAATCCTCTCACCTTGACCTCCCAAAGTGCTAGGATTATAGGTGTGAGCCACCACACCTAGCCCTACTTAAACTTCCCTCCTTCCTTCCTTTCCTTTCCTTTCTTTCTTGTCAGAGTCTCACTCTGTCACCCAGACTGGAGTGCAGTGGCACGTTCACAGTCACCAACTGCAGCCTCAATGTGCTGGGCTTAGATGATCCTTCCGCCTTAGCCTTCTAAGTAACTGGAACTATAGGCATGTGCCACCACGCCTGCCTAAAAACTTTCTTAAGGGGGGTAATAAGCAGGTAACTCAGGGGTTTCTTAATCTCAGCACTGGTGACATTCAGGACCAGATAATTCTTTCTTGGAGGAGGCCATCCTTTGGACTGTAGGATTTTAGCAGCATCCCTGGCCTCTACTCCCAAGGTGACAGTAGCACCTCCCATATGACAGCGAAAGGTATTGGTAGACGTTGCTTAACGTCTCAAGGGCAGGGGTGGGGGTTGCTTCCCCTTGAGAACCAATGTTGTAACTAATTTAATGGGAAAAGATGGAAAAGGTGAGAGGAGACTCTTTCCCCCTTCTCATTATTCTTTCTTTCCAGCGTGCTCCATAGTCCTGCCTCAAATAAAAAGGGGACACATTTTGCAGTGGCTTTTGAGCTGCCCTCTTGGGCTTTAACTGTAGTGTTTAACTTCTAGAATATTTTCATTTTCTACTATTACCACTAAGTTAGCTGAAAGAAAAGTGGGTTTCATTTTCCTCTTATAGTAGATGTGTATGTTTTATTTTATTTTGTAAAATAAGTTTTTGTAGAGATGAGGTCCCACTATATTGTCTGGGCTGGTCTCGAACTCTTGGGCTCAAGCAGTCCTCTGGCCTCAGCCTCCCAAAATGCTGGGATTACAGGCATGAGCCACTGCACCTGGCCAAATGTGTATGTTTTAAAAGAAGCAAATATGTGTTGAGTGGCTTCCCTGGGATTGGGTGGATAGCAATTAGGATGCTTGTTGATTTATTTTTTAAATTTGCGCAAATACTTTAAATTTAAATATATCCAAATATTAAGAAAAACACTAATGGCCTGAACATTTCTTTTAGATTGACACTTCAGCCTAAAGTGCATTTTGTACAGCTGAGGGTGTTAACTCACTAGCTAATTGCAGAATGCTCATTCTGTGATAATTTTACATGTAAAAGGCACACACATTACTACATGTTAATGGTAAAATAGGTGTATATCATACTAAATTTTTTCAGGTCTAGTACTTTGCTGAACCTGAGTGTTTTGCTTACCTGAGTTTAATTTTTGAGTTAAAATTTCATTCTATTCAATAGGAATCTTTATTTTTTTTGTAAGAAATGATGAATTATGGAATAGAATATCTCCTTAAACTGTTAGATTTTCCTATACTTTGTAACACACAAACACATATCAGCTCTTATCTGCTTTGTCAAGGAGAAGAAAATGTTAGAATGATCAGAACTTTGGATTTTAATAAAAGTATAAGCAGGTTCTGAGCAGCAGATTGATTGGGTCTTTGGGCTTCTTAAGGAATAATGTTGTCTCTGCTGATAAAATCACATGAGAGGCTGTGGGACTCTGTTAGTTCAATGAAATATGAATGCCCTCAAGTGACAGGTCTGTTTAAATAAGTGGCTCTGGGAAGCATAGAGGGAATGCAATTTTTCCGGAAGAACTCACAGAAGTTGGCAGGCTCCAGACTTGTGTAAGGTAGCTCACTTTCATCCCTGAAGTATGGTGTCAGCGCCTCTGCCTTTGAGAAGCCGGGACAGTGATGATAAAAAGGCGGGTGAGAAACAGAGAGCAGGGACAGTCTCACTGTTGGTCTGCTGGTCTTTTTCCCATTGTAGGCAGGCCATGTGTGTTTGCTTCTGGAGATCCTGATGGTTTCTGTCTACACAGAGGTTTCTTACTGTTTATAAGGAAACCCTGAATTTCCTGTGAGCTGAGACTTTGCCATGTGGAATTGTTTCGAGGTATAAGCCAGAGAAAGGACTGAAAGTCAGTTATTCCATATCCCCTTAAAAGCAAACCTTGAGACCAGGACTTGGAGTCAAGTAGTTTTTCTGGAAGCTGACCCCAGGAAGTGGAGTGAGGGGGATAAGAGTGAGATTGGGAAGGGATGGAGCCGATATGTGTGCACCAATGAGTGAGTGATGCTGCAGACAGCTGGCACTCAACCTCCTGGACCCTCTGACGTGAGTATAAGACATCACAGAGATGCCCTCGTAAAGGACAAGGAAACTGGGACTTGGTCCTCCAGCTCCAGCCCCTTGTGGGGGAGAGGTGTGTGGTTCCCACCTGTCACAGCTCGGGGTGTCTTGCATCACTGCTTTCCTGTGACCCTGCCTCTAGGTCTGGTCCACAGGAGTCCCCTGCGACCCACAAAGGCCTTCAGACAGGAAGGAGACTGAGCTAGCTTTGTGGGTGGGATGTTCGGGCTTCTTGCTCCGCCCACTTCTTTCCCCGATGGCCCCAGGGGCCTGGCCATGACTCCCAGGGAAAGCATTGCAGAGAATGAATGAGGGAAAGTAAACATGTTCTTTTTAGCTACTATTTGGAATACTTTCTGCTGACCAGGATTTCTAAGAGAAATCCTGACCAGACAGTGTCTTAAGGAAAATAGGCAGCTGGGCGGGATGGTTCACACTTCAATCCTAACACTTTGGGAGGCCAAGGCAGAAGGATTGCCTAAGGTCAAGAGTTTAACACCAACCCAGGCAAAATAGACCCTGCTCTACAAAAAAATAAAATAAAATTAGCTGGGCATGGTGACGCGTGCCTGTAGTCCCAGCTACAGACTCAGAAGGATTGCCTGAGCCCAGAAGGTTGAGGCTGCAGTGAGCTCTGAGACTCTGTCTCTAAAAAAGAAAAAGAAAAAAGAAAAAGAAAACAGACATCTATATTTCTCAGGTGGAAAAGTCTAGAGACTGACAGTCACCCCCCCCAGAGCCAACCTCAGACTCTATGAAGACAGAGCAACCCAGGTTGTTTCCTGCTGTGCATGCTTCCTGAGCTTGTTGACTTGTCACTTCTTGATTCCACCTATGAGAGTTACCAGGCCCGTGTTTCAGACATTAAACAGTAGCCTCAAGCATATCGGTCCCTTCCCTTTTGTCAGGAGGCAAACACCTCTTTAGGGCGCAGAGGCCAACATTGGGTCACTTGGCGACTCTTAGCTGTAAGGGAGGATGGGAAAATGAGAGACAGGATTGCAGTCAATAGTGATTCTCAACTGGGGGTAATATTTACCCTAGGGACATTGGGCCATGTCTGGAGACATTTGTGGTTGCCAGAACCGGTGGAGTCCTGTTGGTGTCTAAAGGGTAGGGACCGGAGGTGTGGGTAAAAGTCCCACAGTGCACAGGACAGACCCTGCAACAAAGTTAGCTGGCCCAAAGTGTCAGCAGTGCCAGGGCTCAGAAACCCAGGGTTCGACGGATCATGATGCCTTGCCCGGCACTGAGGATGCTGCTGCCTTGAATCCAACGGAGCACTTGGTGTAGACAGCTCGTGGCACTTAACAAGGCTGCAAAGGGACCCATTGGAAGGAGCCCAGCTCTTGCCTACGTATCTGAGTCCTGGATAAAACAGTGCTGGGTGGGAGGTGAGGATGCTGGGGGTCTCCTGGGTAGAAGATGGCTACACCGGCATTACTCAAGTTTTCCAAATTCTCTGGAAGGTATTTGTGTAAGGTGTTCATCATTGGTACATGTCTTTCATGATTTAATTACTGTGTTCAGGCCATTACGGTTCCCTTGACTAGTAGTTTCCTAAGGGAGCGGGTCCCTAATTTATAGCATGGCTCAGATGTTGGGTCTGAGTGGCCTTTGTTCTGTGGAGAGTTTGTATTTTCTGAGATCATTTGGAAAAGGCAGGAAAACAGCAGGACGAAGAGTGTGGGACCGGCGTGTCCTCCAGCTCTCCATCAGCACTTGAAGAATGTCTCTTTCGAGCTCTGTTCATTAAGATTTTAATTTTGCAGTTTGTTCCTTTTTTAAGTGACGCGCAATTAATTACGCTTTAATGTGTCATCTATTTTTTGCTGTGACATTTTTACTGCCCCCCTTTTCATTTCAGTCAGTTTATAAATTGTACTCGGGGCTAATGAGTTCCATCCTGATCTCCACTTCCAAATAATTACCACTCTTCTACTACGGCTATTTTTTAATGTGTCATGGAATTAAGGCTGTCCCTGGGCGAGCTCAGGTGAGCCGGGCCCGCCTGGCCGAGGCTACTATGGGCTGGCGGGGCAGGAAGGTGGCTGGGCCTCCCCCAAGCCCCTCAGTTTGGCACAGATCAATCTGCTGCTGCATGGTAGACACCTGGCACACCTAGAAATGAAACACCTAGAAATGAAAAGGACTCTGCCAGGTCGTTCCCCGAGGAGTTCGCAGACTAGATAATTGCCCTAGTTTTCCACACCCCCTTGCCTGTGGAGCTCTGAATAATGGGACTTGGAATCCTGATTTTTAACTGTATGTGGGGCTGAGATTGGACCCAGATTCATTGAACAGCAAGTCTACTTTCATTTCTGTACTACCAACTTTTAACACATGCAGATTTCATCAAGTCAGGTTGAAGTTTAACTTTGTGATATTTGAGGGCAGTGGATGGTCTAGGGGGACTTATTAGGGAAACGACTTGTGTAAAGAAGACTGGAGATGTATCAGCCAGGGCTCCCCAGAGAAACAACCAGTAGGAAGTGTATATTAAGAGTTTTATTTTAAGGAGTTGGCTCAGGTGATTGTGAGGGCTGGTAAGTCTGAAATTTGTAGGGTGGGCCTGAAAACTGGAATCTCAGGCAGGAGCTGGTGCTGCAGTCTTGAGGGAAAATGTCTTTTTTCTCTAGGAAACCTCAGTGTTTTGCTTTTAAGACCTTCAACTGATTGGGTGAGGCCCACCTATGTTGTGGAGGGTACTCTCCTTGACTTAAAGTCACCTGATTGTAAATGTTGACCACAGCTGAAAAATACTTCAGGGCGACACCTAGACTACTTACTGTTTGGCTAACTTACCTGGTGCTCTAGTCTAGCCAAGTAGGCTAGGAAACTAAAACTTAAACTAAAACTAACCACACCTGCCCTGCCGGGTGATAAGAAGTACATTGGGCTGAGGTCAGGAAACCCAAGTCTGAGACCTGCTCTCTGTTCCCAGCTTTGTGGCCTCAGATAGGTCCCTCAGGCTTTATGACTGCCATCCATTTTATTTTGTAACAAGTCTTTGTTAAGGGCATGCCTTCTACCCGCCAGTATTAGATGTGCTGAGGAAACAAAAACGGGTTAGCAGAAGGCTGCAGTGAGCTTTGTTCTGTACTCCAGCCTGGGCCACAGAGTGAGGCCTTGTTTCTACAAAAAAAAAAAAAAATTGGGCAGGTATGGTGGTATGCACCTGCAGTCCCAGCTACTTGGGAGTCTGAGGTGGGAGGATTGCTTGAGCCCAGGAGCTCAAGGCTGCAGTAAGCTATGATCGCACCACTGCACTGCAGCCTGGACAACAGAGCAAGACTCCATCTGTTAAAAAAAAACAAAAACAAAAACTTGGATTCAACCTCTGTCCTGGAGAAGCCCACCGTCTGGCAAAGGTGATGACCCACAGCCAGTGCAGCCCCCAGTGTGAGAAGCGAAGGACCACCCATTTCCAGAATTGCATGACCCACAGCTGTCCTCAGAGTGAGGTGACCGATGGGGCTCCCAGGGGTTTGTGCGTGACTGTCACTGTTAGCTTTTTAGAACATGTTAGCCACAGCTTTCAAGTGTTGGCAGGGCACCTTTGTTATCTGGTCCTCTCTCCATTGATGGAAAACCGTGGGGTCTTATTTCTCTAAAAAATTCCATGATCTAGCAGCTGAATTCAGGCGGGGTTTTATTTAGGAAAGATAAACCATCAGAGGGAGCGTGGACAAGGTGGGGTGTGCTGTGTGGGGTGTGCTGTACTCCTAACTCCGTGGATGGCAGTCAGATGCCAGTGTCAGGTTCCAGTGGCACAGGTCTAGGGTGGAAGCAGTTTTTAGGTTTGGAAGTTTTGCTTCTGGTCTATTCTCAGCCTCGGGAGGGGAGAGTCCTTGTAGCAGCCACCCACTCCTCTCTGTTTTGCCTTTTGCAGGGGCAGATGTCCACGCCAGGGACCCCCACCGCGGGATGTCGCCCCAGGAGTGGGCCACTTACACCGGCCGGGTGGAGGCCGTGCGTCTGATGCAGAGGCTGCTGGAGCGACCCTGCCCAGAGCAGTTTGGGGAAAAGTACAAGCCGGAGCTGCCGCTGCCCCCCGAGGTGGCCCTGAAGCCCCCCGCCTCCAAAAGCTGCTTGCAGAGGCTCACCGACTGTATGCGCTCCGTGCTGACCACCCGCTCCAGCCGCGGCCCGGAGGACGGGGGCGTCCTGGACCACATGGTCAGGATGACCACGAGCCTCTACAGCCCCGCCGTGGCCATCGTCTGCCAGACTGTGTGCCCCGAGAGCCCCCCCTGCGTGGGGAAGAGGCGACGGGCGGTGCAGGAAATCCTGGCGGCTCGAGGGAAACAGGAGCCCCTTGCCCAGGACGGGGACAAGGCCAAGGGCACTGAGCCGCAATTCCGGACCTCCCGGGTGGAGGAGGGCTCCGAGGAGGGGGCCCCGAGAGCCAGCCTCCCGCCTGCCCCGCTGCCGGGGTCCCGGGGCTCCGGGCCCCCCACGCGGAAGGCCAGCCTCCTGCCCCTGCAGCTGCTGCGGCGGAGCAGCGTGCGCCCGGGCGTCGTGGTCCCCAGGGTCCGCATCAGCAAGGCGCCCGCGCCCACCTACCAGCCCGAGCGGCCCGCCCGCAAAGGCAGCACCAAGGACAGCGGCCACCTGCAGATCCCCAAGTGGCGGTACAAGGAGGTCAAGGAGGAGAAGAGGAAGGCGGAGGAGGCGGAGAAGAAGCGGCTGGCGGAGGCGCAGAAGGAAAGGCGGGCGCCGCCCTGGAAGAAGAGGACGTGAGGGCGCGTGCCCCGCGTGTG